AGAGAGAGAGAGAGAGAAGGGAGCAAAAGAGGGAAGAGACATGTAATGCATGAAATCTTGAGAGAATAACTTGCTCTAGTGATGACAAAGGGAGGCGAGGTCACTATCGGAGAATATGGTGAAGCCAACAATCCTATCGATGGAGATGACGTTACGGAGTGAGGAGCAAGGGGTGGCAGAAAGCAAGGATGACATTGTGATCTGAACCAAACCTAGTGGTAGGCATCATTGGCTAAGGAAGATGCAGATGAGGAAAACAATTCCACTAACACCACGGTTGAGGAAGAAGTGGAGGAGATATAGGCGAAAGCAAAGGAGGAGGAGGAGAAGAAAGAGAAAAGGAGAGGTAGAAAGAGTAGAAAGGAGAATAAACAGAAGAAAATTGAAAAAGAAAAGCTAAATCAGTCACCAACATATATGGGGGGGGTCTTCAAAACAAAAATGAACAAATGAAAAAGATGAGGACACCAAGTGATATACTCAATTTCAAACAGACAGAGGTTAACATAGCAACTAACCATGTCTGTTGGGTGTGAATATGGATCCAAGCATGTAACATGGCTCTTACTCAAAGTCTACAATAAGGGATGCAGTTTAAAACGTTCCAATATTTAGAAACAAGCATGCAGATTCATTTTATGCTAATAAGTCCAAGATACTTAAAGATGAAAATTATGCTATATGACAAAGATTGAAATTTCAGCTAGCATGAGAATAGTTCATGCCAAGACTATGCTAAGTAACCATGTCACCATGTCAATGGTAACTAATTAAACTAAAAGCCAATTTTCGGAGCATGCCGACCATATTATGTGAGTCATGTTAGGTCATTCACTTACCACAACCCTATGCCACCATATTAAACATTGATATATGTACAACTCATACATACAATATGATCAAAATTCTTGTATCTAGAAATATTATATGCATTAAAAGAATAAATACGTTCAAGATTATTTAAAAGCCAATTTAATATACGTAAAAAATTATATCACAAATTTATAACTTTTTTCATTCCTCTTTTCTTTTATACTCTGCACTTTTCTCCTTTCTACTCCTTTTTCTACCTTTCTGCTATCTTATCTTTTTGGTACTATAACTCACAAGTCATAAATTTTGGTAACCCTTGACTCATAACTCTCACTCCTTTGCATTCTTTCTTTTATCTCTCCCCTTTCTCCCTCTTTCTCACTCCCTTTGACAGAAACAACAATAACGTGAGAGTATTTGACAAACGCAAGAACTACATTAAGCTTATCCACTAAGTACATAGTGTAGTATTAAAGACCAAACTACATTAAGTAAATAGTTTTTGATAAATACAAGAAATTCATTGTTGAGCAGATCAAACAAACTAGATTGTGCGGTTAAAACAATGTCTGTTTGACTAACACAGACGTGAAGAAAAATGCATAACAAAGATTATAACTTGATTAATATCATATGTTGTACTCTACCTGGCTCATCTCACCCTTGATGCGATTCATCCTATCTGCATCAGGGTCATTTGTATAGTAATCTATCTGTTGACCCAAAACCCTGGAAAACTCATCATTCATTCCATAAGCAGGAGCTATATGACAAGCACGACCATATGTCTTGACAAATCTTCCATGAATATCCTCAAGAAATGCAAAAGGGATTCGTCCTATATGGGTCATCAACAAATAAAAATGTCACATGTAGTGAAAATTGTCTAAAGAAGCAACTTACTTCAGAAAGCAACAGTGTCCCAGCAGAATTCAAACTATCGAGTTTCCCCTTCAAATGTGAAAAACATCACTGTAGGACAATATCCACTTTGAGGGATACAATAAAAAATGATATATGCATTGATCATGTTGAATTTGAATTAGACTAAGCAAAAGCAAAGTAGTTAACACCCTGGGATCTAAACATTTCTGAGAACTAATCAAGAGTCAGCAAAAAAATAAAAATCTATAAAAGAAAACTAAATTGATTTTGCAGGTTGAATTGGATTATATAGATATATGTTACATTTGGGTGGGTCTTAGCTTGGTTTTTGGACAACCTTAACCCAACTGAAATTAGTGTCAAGTCAAAACCTATGTAACCTTAACTGATCCCACCCAGCCCAATTATTTGATTATTACCTTCATTTGTCTGAATAATTAATTTTGCATACTCCTGTAAAATAATTCATGGACAAATCTAATTTTCAGAAGGATTATATCAAAGCACCCTAAATTTAAGAGTTATTTGTATCATCAGATTTATTGCCAAAGCGATCTAGAAATATCATCTTTTGCATCAAAAACTTTAAAATCCTTATGGGATATTTGATTGTTAGTGACGCAAAATGCAGATATGATGATTTCTTGTGGAAGAGTTAAAAGACAATTCCTCACGTGAGAAGCAAGCAAGAGACATCTGCTCATAGTATAGTAATAATTTACGTGTGCTTTATGAGTTTCACTCCTAGGGCAATGACGTATATTTTTATGTTAAATTGGCAGAATATGTTGTAACATGTATTCACTTTCTGACTCATACAAATAACAGAGACACCCACGTTTGTTTTGGTCGATATGGCTAGATGGACAAGAGCGCACTTTTAGAAGGACAGAATAAACAGCTTTTTTTTATATACTTGTTTAGTATTCTACTTGTTGCTTCAGATCTCTCGCCAGGGTCATCAAATCTATCTCTAATTTCCGTTACCTTTAAATCGTTTCGTATTGGTTTCTCAATCCAATTTATGATGAGATTATCAGCGTAGTTTATCCGATCAAAATGATGAAACCCATTCTAGACCCTCCGGGGTCGGTTCTTCTTCTTTTCCTATTTCAAGAAAAAGATTATCTTGATGGAATGAGACCGATCAACCCATTTTAAATCCTGCAGGCTCGGTTCCTTTTCATTCTTCTTTTGCCTCTTCAGAAAAGCAATAACTCGATGGAAATCAAACAATAAAAAGAAGGGGTCGGAAGGGTATGGAGGAGGAGAGGAAGGAGGACTCACTGCCAGCTGTGTCGTCGGCGACGCAGAGGACGGTGATGCCGTCGGTGCGCTTGACGTGGAAGACGTAGCGGTCCTGGGAGTAGGAGACGTGCGTGTCTTGGTCACCGGGGATGCGTTCCAGGATCTGTCGCGCTACGGCGCTCGCGTTCGTGGCCGCCCCGCTGAACTCCACCAGCACTACCGACCCCCGCGCCACCAGAGCGTAGAGGATCGCCATCCCCCTCCCTCTCTTCCCTTGATCTGCCTCTCTAAATGTATAATTAGTTATATAGAAATATCTCAATAGAGGAGGAGGGGAGGTGGGGGGGGGCGACAAAAAGAGGGAGGGGAAAGGGGGAAAAGGAGACGCGATGGGCCAGAGATGAACCTGCGAGAATAATAATGTCGAGGAGGCCGCGATGGGTTGGTCTCGTTTTCCGCCTTTCGAGGATGGACGGCACAGCGAGACAGCGCGGCTTGGGGTGGTGGAGACGCTCAACTCAACAAGCGCACCTCAGAACGTGGGGTCCACAATGCGCAGGTTCTGACGCTGAGGTAGGACTTCGAGCGGTGACCGTTTGAGGATCGAAATTGTACGTGTTGTCTTAATAATTAATAAAGCGGCTTTGCCCGTTAATTCCCAGACAGCTGTCTCGATAATTCATCCTATTTAAATCATAAATATTGGGATCGGAATTCAAAATTAATTTCATATTAACTATAAAAATGTTGAGCAAATTATTTTTTAAAAAATTTCTTATTTTTATTTTTTTTTCCTATTATCTTATTTTTTTTTTATTTATTTCTATAGAATTTTTTTTATTTTAAAGAAAAATAAAATTATGATCTCAATCACAACCTATTACCATGGTCGTCTTCGTCCTACTCGTATATGTGCTCTCACCTTTCTCACCTGTAAGCATAAAGTTAATATTAGGAGCGGATGCGATGATAAACGACTATAAGGGCAAAGGTGTACACGCAATGATAACAACGAGGGCGAGAATGATGATAATGAGTATGAGAATGTATAGGCAATGATAGTAATGAGAGCACATGAACGAGAAAAACGATGAGGGAACACAAGCAAAGATGGTGATGAGGACACACAGGTGATAATAACGATGATAATGAGGATGCACGAGAGATGCAGTGTGGATGTGACAACAGAGCAATTATTTTTTTTAGGAAATAAGGGGCTATCGGAATAAATGGAAAAGGATGTTACTTTAGAAAAAAGTAAAAATAAAGTGCTTTTAGAATTTGTCCAAAAATATTTATATTATATTATCAATGATTGAGTACATATTTTTTCAAATAATTTTATACATAGTTGGCTAAACAATCATTACTCATCGTAATCATCAGATCGAACGGGTCGATGTCAATCAAATCAAATGATCGGAGTGGGGAGGAATGGATAGGGCAATCTGATTCTTCTCCTCCCCCCGAATTTGTCACCCGCATCGTAGCCCTCTTGCGAGGAAAGAAAGGGCACGAAGGCAATAACGGGTTTGACAATGGCTAATGGGTCCATGGAGGCAATGACAATCCTTGCACGAGGTGAGGCGCACAAGGGTGGAGTTCCTCGTATCCCCTCCTTCCTCGCGTAAGAGTTGTAAGCGACATATTCGACGGGGCAAAGAGAAGGGAAAGAAGAGGTGAGGGGGGGTAGCATAGGTTCGTGGCGGCTCTTGCACCCCCTCCTTTCACGCACATCTGTTACGAGCGAGCATGACGAGGGTAACGTATGCGACGGGTCCAATAAAGATAGAGGTAAAATAGTTATTTGTAAAAAAAAATACTATGTGAGATTTTTTTTGCACTGCATAAAATTTTTAAATGTTGAAGCTGTTTTTTTGGGATTCGCCCTTTCTTATATTCAATCATGCGACATTTATTTTTCTTGAGAAATTTATATATGTCCATGCAAAATAATAAAATATCAAAATTATTCTTTCAAACCATCAAATATAAAGTAAAAAAAATTGATAAACTATTTTCATGGAACTTATCGTTTGTTTTTTCAGATTACAATTTAAATTATTCATTTGTCCTTTTCAAATACGCTCTTCGAAACCAATCCGCCATTCACGAGAATTACTTTCCAATAATATTATACAACTCAGTCTTTATGAACTTGCAATAGTAGTCTGCATACGTTCGTTCATCAACCATCTTATCTTTCATAGTTGCTTCGACAACACGTATAAGGCTAACATTAGACTCATCTTTTGTTTGCAGGTATAGTTTATGATGTCGCACGACTACAATCGATCGAGATTGCGAATGAGCTCAGCATGCAGGAGGAGAACACTATTGGCTGCGTCCATATGCGGATTGATTCTAAACTCTATCATGGCTGATGTTCTCATCAAGCATGCGACGTTGGCTTGATGAATTTTGACCAACGTTCAGAAAACACGCATGGTTTGCTCGTGCCACCGAATCGTTTTGTTTTCGGCGATAGCAAAATCAATTAGGTGCATCACATCGGATTGGGCTTCTAATTGCGTCCAATTCAGCCACCTGCCTCCATAATTCATCCTATGTAAATCATAAATATTGCTAAATTAATTGCATATTAACTTAGTGGATAAAAATATTGAGCAAATTCTCCAAGGAAAAACCTCCTATTTTTTTATTTTTTTTTCTCGATTAAGACTCCCTTTTCTAGTTATTCTTGTAAAAATATTTTTTTATTTTTTTAAATATAAAATTATCTTTGACCTCTTTGTCAATCGATTTCACCCTACCTTGCATGCACTCTCACTCTCGTCGCCTCCGAGCATGGAGCTAACATTAGGAGCAGAGGCGATGATTGCGACCATGAGGGTGAGGGTGCATGATTGAAAACAATGATGAGAGTGATTGACACGGGATTGCTTAATTTGCTACAATATGCTCATATAGACCTTGCTGATGCTATAGTATATTTTTCATCGTGCATCATAGTTTTTAACTCGGTATACTTAATTATGACAGCTCATAAGCATATTCCATACACAAAGATATAGTTGTCTTAAGGTACTTTTTTTCGTAACCAAGGAATACATTAAAGAAGTTGGTTACTAGCTATAAAACACTTAATTTCGAAATTCTCTATGTATGAAGGGTTGTTTCATGCACTAGTACTTATTTTGGTGTTTAGGGGTTAGAAAAAAATTTAGAAACCGAGGATATTGGCATAAGCTCTCTTGGAGTGCTTTTTTAAACTCTGTATCTCTTGGATGCGTCCTTGAGTGGTGAGTCTTTTGCTTTCAGTTTTATATCATTGTTTATTATCCTTATGGTGGTGATCTTTATATATCCCTTTGTGATTTTAAACTTATTTGTGAGCTATTTTTTTTCGTTTTTATCAAAGTTGCTTTTGTGAGTTCGCTTCATTTCTATCTGGAAAACTCGTTCTAACAAATATAATTGTACTGTCAATGTTTCTTTGTGTATTCACCCCTTTTCTGCACGGAAAACTCATTCTAGCAAATACGATTGTAATGTCGACTTTTCTTGTGAATTTGTTCGTTTTCTATAAAAAAAAAAATGTGTCATCAATTTTTCTTTCAAAACCTATTATACTTTATCCTCTAATTCTGCATCACATCGGTATTAGTGATGGTGCATAGGTAAAGACATCGGTGAGTACACACCGGTTAAGACGACAATAAGAACACACGAACAATGATGATGACACAAACACACGATTAAATACGACGATGAGAGTTAAAACGTACGATCGAGGTGATGGCCAGAGTAGAAGCAATTTCTTCTTTTAGGAAATAAGGAGCTGCAGGAATAACTAAAACATAGAGTGTTAATCAAGAAAAAGCGAAAAAAAAGGGTTATTTTTAGAATAGTTAAATAGTCCAAGGCCTTCTCTAGGTTGGCAGCAAGAAAGACAGAAAGCACATCTGGGCGATGCGTCGCCTACGAAATCTACGAGCACGAAGGAGAGGGAGACCGAAAGGGGCAAAGCACCACAGAGCAGCAAACATCTAAACAATTAGATAAGATGTGCGCCAGAAAGGACTTCTGCAGTCTTCGCTTTATTACCAACTTCGACGAGATAAAAAAGACTTGATTCTAAGTCAACCGCGATTTACTATGTCAAGAAGAAGAAGAAGAAGAAGAAAAGTAAAAATGACTAGCTACGTAGTACAGGAAGGAGAAGAATTGTTCGCATAAAAAAGAAAGCTGTACTTCATTTTAGGACTTCATCTAAGAGAGATTTTAATGTGAAAAATGAAAGACTTCATCAGCTCCCCTAATTAACTTCAACTATATCACTGCTCTTAAGTCATCCACATCTACTAGTCATAGTATGATAATTTTTTATTCAGTCAAATCATACTCATTCAAATCATCTTCTTTTATTTGAATTTATTATCACATTAGAATTTGAGTAATCCGAACCAAATTAGAAACTAATAAAGTATGATATAAGAAAACCTTTACAGTGTATTCATCGCACAGATCGTTCGATTGAACTTATCATGCAATTGGGTTTTATCAATAAGTGCCATATGGTTATGTTCTCTGCACCCACAAATTTGACCGGAAGGATTTGTGGAGTTCTATTTGACTGTATAATTGAATGTGGAATAAGATTACATCTATACACTGTGGAGCATAACAAAGATCACAAAGGTGGATTCCTTTGTTACAAAGCCGCCTGGCAACAAATCCAACTCACTAATATACCTTAATAAGTTGAGAACATTTGACTTGAGCAAAAGTTCAGCTGCCTCACTATACATCAAAATAATCAAACAGGCAATGTTATACTAAATGTCTCACATATAATTTACCTCTAGAAATGTAGAAGAAGAAACGAATACCATAGACACCAATTAGAACAACAGAAGAGGACTTGTCCTAAACCACTAAAAGCTGCACACAGTGTGATCTTTGTCCTAAACCGACGGGAAATGAAGCCATCTTAAAGGCCAAAGAATGTCAATGGTGTCTGTACACTAAACAGATGTTGGAATTTGGAAGGCATTGAGTTAGATTTGCACAAATGATCACCTGTTATATTGGCTGTAAAAAAGATGAAGTCAGGGAATCAGAGATTTGAGACAAAGGCCCCTGCTGTTGTGCCAGCTCATGGATATCCTTCACTATGTCGAAAACTGCATCAGGTTGTGCCAATTTGAGGGCATTTTGCGACATTTTCTTCAGCTCCTCTGATTCGGGGCCGAACCATTGAGCGACGAGGCTCGCTGTTTGTTTCGAGCTTTTGGAGAACACCCCAGCTCCATTGTTAACCACATAAGGGACATTGCCAACCTCCTGCAAAGCAGAACAGTATGTTAAATAGTCTCAAGTTATACTCTGATCAACATTGATAT